TTAACACGGCAAAAAATCAGAATTTTGGTCGAACCAGAATGTATCGACCAATAAATCACCTAGTCGACTGGGAGATTACAGCCCTACCAGGTACCCTCCTGGCTTGCTGGCAGGGGACAAGCGAACATACTTCTTCAACTCCCTCCTTGGAGGGAATGAGCTTCCCAGTTCTAAAACATTCCCAGGAGGAGACTGGGCCAAAAAAACTCCCAGACTGGAAACCGCTGCGCCCGAAACACCAAAGGTGGTGAGGTTGGCAGACCGGTCTCCTGAGGGCAGTAAGGAGAAAAGTGGGCACACTACAACTAGATGTGGGCCACTTCTCTTCAGGGGTGCCTGCCCTCAAAGTCGACAACAGGACTGCAGCCTTCATCGAGAGGATGATGGTCCTCAGATCTGTCCGCCCCAGGGAGACCTTTAGCTGGGACTCCCAGACTGCCTTGACTCCCGTTCTCTCTGAGGGGGGTTCGAGTACCGACACTCTGCTTATGCCGTTCTCTTCAGGATAATATAAGAGCAAATAACACAGAGCACTGACTGAAGACACAGTTGCTGACGCTGTTTGGTCCGCGTGTCCTTTATTGCTTCCTGGTGCGCCGCGATACGTTTTGCAAATGAGATTGGAGTAATGTATTGCTCCAAATGTAAGACAATTTTTTCTTAGAAATACATGTGAAAAATATGGTTCATTTACAAGGAAGTGTGTGTCTCCATCTGAATACGTCTGTAAGCAGGAAGCTGTTAGTTTCTATGTTTATCTATAAACTTTAGCATAGACTGGTTTCATCCTCTCTAGAACTGGGTGTCCCATGCAATAAGAACTTACAGACCACATGATCAGGATGCTGCCATGAATTCCAGGGTCATTTATCCCCTGATTTATCACCTTTCTCACACAGAAATATGGGTTTTCATGCACTGGGTGTATTGCTGGTATATTTTAAATGTAGTCACTGCAGTGATGTACAATTTAAAAAATTACTTGAGTAGTACCACACTACCACAAGGTTACAATGTTCAGTCCAGTGTTATTTTAGTACATGCTGTTATGTGGATGGCTGATGAACCCACTAGCAGACAGCAACTGATTCTCAAAGGGGTTTATTAAAGGACAAAACAGAAAGAAAAACCCACGATGGGGCAAAACAGGACAGGGTATAACACACTAGACTAAGACTTTGAACTAACAATAGAAACAAACGCTTCTTGACAAGACTCTCAACTAGTTACTCACAGCTTGATACAAACACAAAGTATGATAAAGTCAAACACTGAACTCACGGTAGGTTTCACAATGAACCGACACAGGACAGCAAACACAAGGGGATTAAATGGGGAACACTAATGACGAGGACAGGTGAAACTGACTAGACAATGAAGCACTAGACGAGGATAACAAGGGGGCGGGGTAACTTAACGAGACAACACAAGCACATGGCCCACACAGGCCATGCACTTGTACACAAAACATGGGTCTGTCATGATCCTGCCACAAGACCAGGAAAAATCTAAGACATGATGGCAGAATCATGACAGAACCCCCACCTTAAGGAGCGGCTTCCAGACGCTCCTCAAGGAGACATCAAACATGGGACAAGACCGACTGGGACAAAGACAAGAACCAACAATACATTACAAATAATAATAAGGGCATACAAGAATAAACAATGAAAGGATTGGGGTGAAACATCAAAAACATCATACAGGTCAGAGGGGGTGGAGGAAACACAATGTCTTTGCGTGACAGTCCAGGGTGGGTGGGTGGGACAGAGGTCCTGGGACCACAGGGAGTGGGCTTAGGACGAGAGGACCGAGCGGGCTTGGGAGGAGTGGTGTGGGACAAGGGAAAAACAGTCCGGGGTTGAGCCATGACAGGGGAAACAAACGGAAGTCCAGGAACAGTGGGGACAGGGACAAATGGGGAAACAGACCGGGAATTAGAGGAGCCAGGGGAGACCAGAACAGACGGGGATGCAGTCTTAGTGGCAGCTGGCCTGGGATCAGCATTTAAGTCAGCTGGCTTAGGACCAGCGCTCACTGCAGTTGGACTGCGATCAAGACTCTCACTAGATGACTTGAGAACGGTGCTCTGTGCAACAGGCTTGGGATCAGTGAAGACAGCAGCTGGCTTGAGATCTGTGCTCGGTGTAGCAGACTTGGGATCAGTAAAGACTGCCGCTGGCTTGGGATCTGTGCTCGGTGTAGCAGACTTGGGATCAGTGAAGACTGCAGCTGGCTTGGGATCTGTGCTCTGTATAGCAGACTTGGGATCAGCGCTGACAGTTTCTGGACTGGGATCGGCGCTCTCTGGAGCATTTGAAACAGGGACTGGGGACGAGACAGGACTGACTGGGACATCAAGAATTCTGGCCAGACGGGATAAATACTCGGACAGGGTTCTGGCAGCGATGATGACTGGCATCTCCTGATGAGCCGAAACGGACTGTACCACAGCCCTTGCAGCGGAATCGACTGCTGCTCTCTCTTCTGCAGACACGGCAGAAGACTCAGAGACGACATTCACAGTACAAGTCTCTGGAATGGATCTCCCCAACACCGACTGGGAAAAGGCGCTTTCTGCAGCAGGTTGTAGAACGGCATCTCCTGTTGCAACAACCGGAGCCACGCTTACAGCAGCGGGACAGGGAACAGCGCTTCCGACTTCAGCGGCGGGTTGGAGAGCCATCACGGGCTCAGGAGGGGGTAGAGACGGAGAACCAGAAGGTCCTTTCCTCCTCTTCTTCCTCCTGGGTCGTGGGGCGGAGTAGGTAGCCAGACTAGTGACCGGAGAGGGGGGTGAAACAGGAACTGTTACCGGAACAGGTGAGCTCACTGCAGGCGAGGAGGATTCCGGGCAGGAAGACTCTGATGCTGACTCCCATGACGGGTGCCTTCCATGCTTACCATGAAGACTGATGGACGTGGAAGGTGTCTCAGGAGTCGCGGCAAGACTGGGTTGGTCCCCAAGTGTAGCAACGGCTAACAGACGACCCTCAGGGATCACAGGAAGTGTAGCGGAAGATGAAGACCTTGTAGCACCCTGCTGCTCTCTCTGTGACAAACTGTCCACCATCTTGTGGAACGGGCGGCTGACCAGTCTCTCACGTTCAGCTAGAGGAGGATGGACGTTAAGACCCGCGATGAAGTAGCGGTTGACCAGAATCTCCGGCAAGAAAAACCTCCTCTTCTCCACGACCTGGGCGTACTTCCTCAGGGTCAACTCTCCCTGAGGAGGGAAAGGAAGCTTGCCTTCCAGGCTGTCGGTGATGGCCGACTGCCACCATCGTTCGGGGTCTGACGACTGCAGAGTAGGGTAAATAGGCATGCTGTCTGCTGGGTTTCTTGTTGGTCGGTTCATTCTGTTATGTGGATGGCTGATGAACCCACTAGCAGACAGCAACTGATTCTCAAAGGGGTTTATTAAAGGACAAAACAGAAAGAAAAACCCACGATGGGGCAAAACAGGACAGGGTATAACACACTAGACTAAGACTTTGAACTAACAATAGAAACAAACGCTTCTTGACAAGACTCTCAACTAGTTACTCACAGCTTGATACAAACACAAAGTATGATAAAGTCAAACACTGAACTCACGGTAGGTTTCACAATGAACCGACACAGGACAGCAAACACAAGGGGATTAAATGGGGAACACTAATGACGAGGACAGGTGAAACTGACTAGACAATGAAGCACTAGACGAGGATAACAAGGGGGCGGGGTAACTTAACGAGACAACACAAGCACATGGCCCACACAGGCCATGCACTTGTACACAAAACATGGGTCTGTCATGATCCTGCCACAAGACCAGGAAAAATCTAAGACATGATGGCAGAATCATGACACATGCATATACTATATATATATATATATATATATATATATATATATAGTATATCCATATACTGCTATACTATTTATTATTTTTTTGAAGAAGCTTTTTATTTTAATTAAATTTTTTAGTAAATTTGTATGAGCTTTTGTCTTTTTTTAGGTTTTTATATATTTCTATGTAGCTTAATTTTTCTTTATTTTTTAATATTTTAATTTTAGTACTTCAGCTTAAACTATTTTATTACTGCAAAGACAACATTGTTAACATTTCATTGGGTCATCAGAGAACAGTTGAGAAGTCGTGACTGTGTGAATATAAGACAAACCACTAAAACATTCAAAATAATTAAAATCAGTCCTGCTCTAAAAACAGATCAGAAGTGAACATAAATCAGCTCAAAATCAGTGTTATTTTAGATTTAGTTATACACTACTATTATAGTGTTTATGCATATTTTGAATTTGTTTTTTTATTTTCAGTTTTCTTTGTAGTTACATTTTTTTTTGTAATTTTTATGTCCTACTGCAGTGATATTCCAGTTTATTTTATTTTTCTAGTTAAAAATCAACATATTTTTCATCAAATTAAACTTATTTCAAGGCAACATTTCTAATTTAGTTAAATGCAAAAAACAAACAAACAAAAAAATATTTTTCTCAATGAAGACGTAAAGATGTTGAGTAATATAGTATATGCTTTAACAATAAAATTTTAGGACAAAAAAATCTATAAAAGGAAATAAAATTAAATTTCTGTGACTCCCCCCTCATGTCGGTCCAAACCCGTAAGACCTCTGTTCATCTTTGGAACGCATATATTTGATGAAATCCGAGAGGTTCCTGACCTCACATAGACTACAACGTCATTGCGACTTTCAAGGACCAGAAAGGTAGTAAAGACATCGGTAAAATAGTACAGTGGTTCAACCGTAATGTTATAAAACATCACAAATACTTTTTGTGCGCAACCCCCCCAAAACAATGACTTTATTCCTTAATTTGATAAGGGTGAGTAATTGATGTCAGAAATTTCATTTTATGGTGAACCAACCCTTTAAAAGCTTTACGATTTACATAAATGCAAGAATGTAACCCTCAACGAATCCTCAACTAATCTGTACTGAGACTAAAGCTATGAATGAACACTCAGAAGCCAAGAATGGTTTTACCACTGCTTTGTGAACTGTTTATTAAGCTGTTCTGCTTTATATTCAGCTATTTAAAATGGATACGTGTTTAAAATAACATTTCGGATCTCACTGGAACACATTGACACCTGGAACACATGACGACAGCAGCAGCTCGCAGAATGAAACACTGTGATTCTTTACCAACGCGATCTCACGACTAATTCGTACGAATTCAACGCATGATTAAAAAGTGTCTAATTCGTACGACCTCACTCGTACTAATTCGTACGATTTGTCTAAACCCACGTGATGGTTAGGTTTAGGGGCGGTGTAAGGGGTAGGTCATTCGTACGAATTCATACGAATTGGCCAATTCGTAAAATATGTACGATTTATCAAAACCGTATTAATTCGTACGAGTGAGGTCGTATGAATTGTTACGAATTAGCCACTTTTTAATCATTCGTCGAATTCGTACGACTTGGTCGTGAGATCGGGTTGTTCTTTACACATATGTTTGTTGATTCATAAATCTGTTTACATTTGTCAAAAGTCAAAAAGGCTACACAGTATAAGGCTACAATAAATTCTAATATGTATGATATAAGATATACTGAGTACCAAAATTTGTAAGTATTTCGTTTTGCCGTCATGTCCTGGTCTTTTGTTGCACAGGGACAGGGGCAAAAAACCCACAGTGAACCCTGTATACCGAGTCAGGTACTGATGGTCTGCTTTGGAAAGATTAAGTGCTTTTTTCAGCGATAGGGTTCTGGCTTTTCTTGTTGAGGTACTCAAGAACAAACACCTGCAGGATCTTGTTGAGATTGCCGATGGAGGTACGATCCAAGTTATCCTCGTTGTCATCGAAAGTGTGCCACACCGCAGGGAAAGGAGTCGTGATGAGATGAAGAATCCGGACCCCTGCGAGGGCAGAGAAATGGTGAAGATGATTTCTCCAAGTACAACATCAACATCTTTATTGATCCTGCACCAACATTTCCATCAACCACTCAGATTTGAGAGACACGTTTACAACCAAACCAGGGTTATGTGCTTCTACATCAGTGTTATTCACCTATCATTTCCTGATTTTAGGCTAAGTTATGGGTAGGGTTAGGGATAAGATAAGGAATTTTCAGACACAAATGTTGTTCCTGGAGCAACAAAACCGCAAGGAATATATAAATAAGGCCTAAAAGCCTTAATCTCAGGAAGTCTTTTACCTTGGTTGTGGAATGGTATGTGGTCATCCAGAATTAGACCCACATGTAGGCCAGGCCAGAAGTACTGCACCTCATTAGGGTGATTCTCTAGGTGACCGAGCGCATGCAGCCGACGCTCTAGACAACAGAAAAGAGGTTTCCTCTCAATATCAGCTCATTTGGAGTAAACATGTATTATTTTATAAAGGTTAAAGGTGCATTCAGTAGTGTTTTTGTTTATGTTGTGCTTCTCAATATAACAGCCACCTTTGATTATACTGACACCTAGTGGTTTAGATGCAAAAGCACAACATGAGAGGAGTGGAGCGATTCCCCTATATAGCTAAATCCTTAGTAATGAGGGAAATTCACACTAAGTAACTTTTTATATTTTTTATATATAATATTACCAGTTACAGTATATTTTTGCACCCCTAGTGAATGTGCATCATTGTATGGAATGTGCACTTATAGTGTTCTTTTGAAGTATATAATCAAAAAGCCACTAAAGTGCACTTAAAGAGAAAAAAACATGTAATAATGCCAAATTAACTTTTTTTTACCATTATACACTCACCTAAAGGATTATTAGGAACACCACACTAATACTGTGTTTGACCCCGTTTCGCCTTCAGAACTGCCTTAATTCTATGTGGCATTGATTCAACAAGGTGCTGAAAGCACTCTTTAGAAATGTTGGCCCATATTGATAGGATAGCATCTTGCAGTTGATGGAGATTTGTGCATGAAGCTCCCGTTCCACCACATCCCAAAGATGCTCCATTGGGTTGAGATCTGGTGACTGTGGCGGCCATTTTAGTACAGTCAACTCATGTTCGAGAAACCAATGAAATGATTGGAGCTTTGAGACATGGTGCATTATCCTGCTTGAAGTGGCCATCAGAGGATGGGGACATGGTGGCCATAAAGGGATGGACATGGTCAGAAACAATGCTCAGGTAGGCCGTGGCATTTAAACGATGCCCAATTGGCACTAAGGGGCCTAAAGTGTGCCAAGAAAACATCCCCCACACCATTACACCACCACCACCAGCCTGCACAGTGGTAACAAGGCATGATGGATCCATGTTCTCATTCTGTTTACGCCAAATTCTGACTCTACCATCTGAATGTCTCAACAGAAATCGAGACTCATCAGACCAGACAACATTTTTCCAGTCTTCAACTGTCCAATTTTGGTGAGCTCTTGCAAATTGTGTCCTCTTTTTCCTATTAGTAGTGGAGATGAGTGGTACCCGGTGGGGTCTTCTGCTGTTGTAGCCCATCCGCCTCAAGGTTGTGTGTGTTGTGGCTTCACAAATGCTTTGCTGCATACCTCGGTTGTAACGAGTGGTTATTTCAGTCAAAGTTGCTCTTCTATCAGCTTGAATCAGTCGGCCCATTCTCCTCTGACCTCTAGCATCAACAAGGCATTTTCGCCCACAGGACTGCCGCATACTGGATGTTTTTCCCTTTTCACACCATTCATTGTAAACCCTAGAAATGGTTGTGTGTAAAAATCCCAGTAACTGAGCAGATTGTGAAACACTCAGACACCAACAAACATGCCACGCTCAAAATTACTTAAATCTCCTTTCTTTCCCATTCTGACATTCAGTTTGGAGTTCAGGAGATTGTCTTGACCAGGACCACACCCCTAAATGCATTGAAGCAACTGCCATGTGATTGGTTGATTAGATAATTGCATTAATGAGAAATTGAACAGGTGTTCCTAATAATCCTTTAGGTGAGTATTTTAAATTATTGTTTAATCATGCTTCCAAGAAGTGCAGTTATTTTAGATGTGTTGATTATAGTAGTAGTTTATTATAATTTTAACTGTAGCATGTAATACTACATTAAATACTTCATTTAAAGTTAATATATTTTTAAATGTACTAAATTGCATCTTCATCATTGCAAATGTGTAATTACAAGTATATTTAAATACAAATGTCAATTAAAATGACATAAAAGTAGATTTTAGTTACAAATAACATAACTGTTGGTCAATGCATGGACAGTATACCACAACCTAAACAATAGAAGTGAATATGAAATTACACATAATAAGCCCCACTTAGGTGGGTCTGCATTTAATATAGATTTAAACCATTACACATGTATATTCAATAAGTGTCAGATAGTGTCTGAATAAGTTCACACATTAGTAAAATCTATATATGAAGAGTTCAGATGCAAAAGCCTCTAAGTGCCATTTGAAATTTTCTTCTAGAATGATAATTTTTATCAAGCTTGTATATTTAAGTTTAGTGATTTCACTTTAATGGCAATGATAATTACCTATTAATTGTTATTTAAGTTAAATTACTGAACTTAAATATACAAGTTTGATAAAAATCATCATTAAAGAAGAAAATTTCAAATGGCATTTAGAGGCTTATGCATCTGAACTCTTCATTTATTTTTAAAAGTATGCTAAAATGTACTTTTTGTACCAAATACAAATGTACCAAAAACAAAAAACAACAACAACAACAACTGAATGAATGATTCACTGACATATATGGGGAACGTTTGACTCGAACCATTCAAGTATTTGAATCAATTATTTTCTTATGGACATTTGTTTAGACTTATTGTCATCTATAACCAAACCTAACTACATTTATCAGAGGAAAAGAAAGAAATGATGGGACAACAAAATGGAGCAGAAAAATTACTAACCAATTTTTTGCAGTTTGGAAAGCCATCGGGTCGTACTAGAGAACTGATTACCAAAGCGAGGATTAGGACCTCCAATCAAGTCCAGCAGAACAAACAGATCCTGGGGAGAAATTGAATGAATTAAACACTTTAACTGGTTTTGCTGTGTGCTTGCATTCATTTTCTTTAGCCATACATTCACAATATATGATTGTCAATGTCCATTTATGTATATATATATATATACGTATATATATATATATATATATATATATACGTATATATACACTGATACAGTGAATGAGGAAGTATGCAAGCACAATTTATCCAAATTATTAGTGAATAACAACTTAAACATTGGTCTGTTCCTCACACAAAATTTAGAAACCCATCACATAAGTCATATGGATCACTTTAATGGACAAGCTAAATATCAAAATATCTCATTTTGTAATCCATAGAGGAATGTAAGTAAGTTTGGCTGTATGTCAACTGTCTTTTTTTGTATTGTTTATGACAGAACTGTACAATGCTGTCGAGCTGGCTAGTGTTGGTGGCTTCTGGTGGATGTGGTGTCGTCGCCATTTTGTTGGCTAGGTGACGAGATCCGTACAGAGAGTCTTCAGAGGTCCACTGATACAGAGCCTCCTCTCCATCAAAGAAGAACAGCTGCAGAGACAGATCTGACCCAGAGTCCTGTGAGGGAAAAACACATATACATACTGCCATCTACTTGTGACACTACAGAATACACACAAATGAAAAAAAAACCAAAAAAAACATTTAAAGGGATACTTCACCTCTGGAATGATGAATGTGCATTTAAAATGGGTCCTTTATGTAGGAGAAATGTGAAATTATTTTTGAATTTGGAGTTTTCTAGACTGAGAAAAGCCAGAAAATGTATTTTTGTCTATGTAAGATACAAGGTAATCAGTGTTGGGAGTAACGCATTACAAAAGTAATACATTACAGTAACATATTACTTTTTGCTGTAACACAGTAGTGTAAGGCATTACTAATCAATTTTCAGTAATATTTTACTCGTTACATGTTCAGTGAGGCTTGTATTACAGTTGTATTACAGTGTATTGTCTGCTTTTACTTCTTAAAGGCAACAGACTATGTGAAAGTTTTAAAGCAGTCTTTTAGTGCCAGTTCAGAGCGGTCGCGTCTGTAACATTGTTTTTTCCTCATAAATGCGAACACGAAAACTAAAATAAAATGAATATTTTAAGTTCTATGGAGACTGGAGAGCCAACCCTTCCTCATCCGATTTGCGCAGTGTAATTACCAGAATTACAAAAAATATATTTTGCCTCCTATTTTTTTCATTTCCCTAATATTAAAAATAAAACATAGACTGATATTTGTCTAATGTCTGGAGTCCTTTGAGGAAGTAGCCTATACGTTTCAATAGATGTATTTTCTGAGAATTTTTATTTCAAGTTTTGACTGCAAATGTTATGTCCATAATGCTCCTTAAGTAGTTTGTGGTGTAGGTCTACGTATTTTATAATGTTAACTTCAAATAATAATAATAGCCTAATTTAAAGATAAGGCAGCATTGGATCTGGACGGTAAGGAGAATAACGCTGGAGTTGGAAGAGGTGTGTCGCGATTCCGTTTCGTGGATCTGAGTCGTGTGGCGAATGGCGATTTCGGTTTCATATTGCATATCGTTACAGCCCCAAAGTTGTTCTACTTAGTTATTTTGGTGAAAGTAACTCAAAAGTAATACATGAGTAATGTAACGCATTACAATTCTGTGACAGTAATATTGTAAGGTAATGAATTACTTTTAAATAACAGTAACAAGTAATACCTAATGTATTACAGTTTGGAAGTAACTTGCACAACACTGAAGGTAATGAAGCCTTTTATACATTGTCGTGTTTCTTTAGAAGTACATAATGGACAAATGAAGTCTTTGGACGCCTCAGATGTAAAGTTATTTGCTGTCAAAGAGACACCAAAATGAATGGGAGTCAATGGAAGGCTACAAGGAGGTGAAGTTCGGCTGCCGCAAGGCTTCAACTTCGGCTGATGGATTACCCGCTTGGTAATTTTTTGCCATTTTAGATCCATTTATTTTTCTCCCAGGATTAACAATTATGTGCTTTTGAAATCTGAAATGTTTCGAAACACTTTGGTCAAAGACAGTCAATGTGTCTGAATCATGTCCGAATATAACAAAAGGGGAACTGAAACAAATGTTTAAATATAAAAACTCATGACTTTGAGTAACAAAGCTTCTACCTAGTGGGGTTTGCTGAATAAGAATCAATCATATTGTAGGAAAAGTATGCGATGAATCATGCCACCATTGCAATGCTTGTATTCTATAAAAACTGTTGTAGAGGGAATCGGATTCTCCCTGAAATTGGTCGGAGATCCTCCGGCCGTGATTAAAACATATCTGAAGGCATTGTCTGGAGTCTGTTTAGTTCAGTTATAGGACACTAGAGATCTTATTCTCGAGTATAGTGTAAAAAGGGATGAGACGTCGTCCGACTCGAAGACTGTAGATGCAGTGCTAGAGTATTAAATATTATTAAGTGTCGACTGTAGACACTTTGGAGATGCCAGGTAAACTTAAGTCAGGTGCTTAGGGGAAAATCTACCACATCAAATACATAAAGTAGAAAAAAAATAATAATTAGCTGGATCTAGAATTCAAATGAATTTACCAATCAGTAATACCTTTGATCAGCTCTACCAAACGTGGATGATTTTCCACTAAGAAACGAACATTGTTATTATGTTTTGATTGATACTGTGAAGCTGCTTTGATGCAATCTATATTGACTTCCTTACTTGACTTGGAATTTTTATTTCTAGAAAATATTCAGATCTTTAAAATTGTACTGTCACTCTTTGCTTGGTCGTATTCTGACCTTGACGCTGAAAAAGTCCTTTTAGGCAAGTCATGCCACTCGGCCGCCATCTTGGCAACGCCTCCGGGCAGCTATTCCGTACATAACAAGACCAGGCTCTATCTAACTGAATGGGCAGAGAGTCAAAGCTGCACTTTCACTGGTCACCAGGACATAAAAACTGCATGTATAGAAACAGCAGTAACATATAATAATAAAAATAAAATACATAAAAAAAAAATCGCTGAAAAAGTTTGATGACTTTGCCGTAAAATAAGGTTATACTTTTACTGCACATGCGCAAGGGTTCTCTCGCTCTCTGTCGCGCGTGCGCTGCACAGTTTGAAACACATGCTGCATCCCAATTCGCATAGATACAGTCGGTTGGTCTGGGAGCGCCCCCGGGAACGCCCCGTCACGTGGTGTGAATTTAGCCCGTGGGGGAAAACATTGCCTTGGCGCTCATTGAAATACATGGGACAATCATGCCGAAGAGTTGCTGTGTCGTTTTCTGTACCACCAATAAACTAACAAATTATAAATTGAAGTTCTACAGCCTTTCTTACATACATGCAGAACCGGATAGGAGGACAAAATGGCAAAATTAATCATATCTTATTAGATTACTGTGTGAGTAGAGGTCCCTGTGTGATATAGTAGTAGATGTTTAACTCGTATTAGGCAGTGGGCCAGATTTGTCTGACTTTACATCCCTTACGAAAAAGAACTATAGTAATCCTATGGCTATTCCCAGATAGCAAACTGACATTGAATCAACGTGGAAATATGACATCGAAACAACGTTGATCTGACATTGTTTTGCTCATTGAATTAACGTTGAACCAACGTCAGACGCGTCATTCTTTCAAAACTAACGGAAAATCAACTTGAAATCAACGTGTTGTTTCAACATTATGAAAGCAAACCAATTTTCGATTTTCATTTAGCTTTGAAGAATGCCGCGTCTGACGTTGGTTCAACGTTAATTCGATGAGCAAAATCAACGTTGTTTCAATGTCATGAGAGACGTTGTTTCCACGTTGATTCAATGTCAGTTTGCTGTCTGGGTTAGTATTCTATAGTAGTGTATAATACTTCTGTGATGTTCTTTAATACCTCTATACTTCTAGGCTATGTCCCAAAATACTATAGTATTCATATAGTATTCACGTTACTATAATATTTTGTCCTAAAATACTACAAGATTCCTTTAGTTGTTTTTCATAAGGGATGTCTCAGTCACATTAGCGTTATTAGCTGAAGGTTATCAGACTGCAGTCTGTGAGAATTCGGATAACTGTCAGCAAAGTCCCTCTGCAACTTCGTAGCTACTACTACTGATCACCGTTTTACAAAAGGATTAATAGTTTGGAGTGAAGCATACGTGCAATTGGTAAGTGAGATGGTTTTATGGACTTATAGTAACTTATACGCAAGTTGATTGAGTAATAGGCTTGTGTTGCAGCTTCCGCGATGTCTGGAGATTCAACCAGATAACAATAGTCTGGAAACGACACCTCCGGCCATTTGGTTGGGTCATCGACCCAGTTTTTAATTAAATAAGGGCAATCATAACCTACAGTTAATTTTGCAATGTACCGTTGCCGGTCGGCAGGCATAAACGACTCGCAATATGACATTTTTGTCATTCAAATACATAGGATGGTCGCGCTGCTTTGCCCCACGCCGACCACGCCCCCCAACTATGACGCGTTGCCGACTGTATCTATACTATCCGTCCTAAATAGTATTCGAAAACAGAATTAGTACATCCCAAATCGTAGTATGTTGAAATGAGTGTTTCAAAGATACCCGGATGGTCTACTATATCCGGTCAGAATCCGAAGTGTAGATCGATGCACACTCTAACGGCTGATATTGACCACAAACCATTGCGCGTTGGATGAGGATTCGGTTAGAGAACTACAAACACGAGTAAAAAGTGTTAAAAAACTACAGACACGGAGTCCCCGCGGTTGTGTAGAGAGGTTTAGATAAAGAGCTTTGAGTGATTAATTATCAGTATCTAACCTGACGAAAATGAATTTATTCAATGTTGTCCACATTATATTGCATTTGCAGCAGCACTGTGAACTTTTGTAAAGACACAGCTATTACATTTTAAATGCATCATTATATTCAAATTGCAAACACGAGGAGAGTCTCTGCATGAAAGACACGATTGGCAGATGAACGCCCTCTCCGAAACGGTAGGAAATAAAATTAGATAGAATAGAGGATTTTAACTGTGACAAGATGATTGACAGGGCAGTTTATGGTGACAGGATGCACGCAGCACGCCAACAGAGCTGTCCGTTAAAGATGACGTGATAGTATGTCTCAAAGCTTGCCTACTCTTTTGCTACACACTCAAAAGTATGTACTTTTTCTTCACAAAAAGAGACATACTTTTAGGGCGTAGTATAAGTAAGCGAATTGGGACGCAGCAGCAGTATGTGCGCGCTCTTGCTTGCTCGCTCTAGATTCTGGGAGATTTGAACTACAGTATTGTGATTAATTAACTACGTTTCACTTGAATTAATCTGCCACCAACTTTCAATCGCTCTGATGAGCCGCGGCACGGCTGCAGGAGATTACACAAAAAAACGGACACTTTTCAAAGTCTGTGATTGTAGCGCCTACTAGTGGCAAAAGGCAGTAAATACACCCCAAATTTTAAAAACCACATTCTGGTTGATTACCTACTGTAATTTGCGGGCATCAGCGAGCCGCTATCAATCTGCAGGAGACCCAAGGAACTTTTGGGAGACTTGTATTGGGATGTCTGATATTTACACAACGCACACATACACTGCATTTTAAATCTGCCGCCTTTTCAAACAGTCAAGTATTTAAATGTTTCCCAGCTTGACCGTTAAAAGCAGACGATTGGCTGTCCTCCAGCGGGAGGGGCGGGGCGTTTGCATACAACTGCCATCTTTGGTGTTATGGGTTTTCCCTATACATAAGGATTGAGGAAGTGGCATGTCTCTATATAAATAGTCTCTGGCGCTGGCTAGGCAGAACTTTGGATCATTTAACATAAGTTGTGTACGTGACCATTCAGCAAATGGTTATAGACATCCAAAGATTTATACGCCCTCAGTTTCTCTTTACGCTTGTTTTCTCTATCGGGTAGGTGTAGATGTCCACTCAACCAGAGCTAATCCTGTCAGATCGTCCATCCATGAGTGTGTACGGGTCGGCCAATCTGCTTCTGTCTATTAAAGTGAACTTTTTTTAATGAAAATTGCGGTCCTGGACAGTGAGCGACCTTACATATTAAGATAAAATTAGATTTCCTCAAGTCATTGTTAAAAAACAAGCTTTCAATACTTGCTAGCCGGGGGAACCGGTTTTGCCTCCACCTAAGCTCCGCCCACAAAAAAGTCACAATGTTTATAAAAACAAGTGACTGTTTTTTGCAACAAAAAAAAAATCTTAAAACAAAAAATCTAGATAGACATTAAATGATGACCTTACTAATCGACAAGTCCCATCCCTGTTTTCGGTGAACATTCCCATACCTTCAGGGTCTTTAGTTCGTCATCTTGGGCTCTTGCCAATTCCAACATCATTGAGCAGGGGACAGCAGAATCCGTTGCTCCGAGGAACTCACGGCCGTCCCATTGTGGAGGGTAGTATTTGGAGTCTAAGTGGCAGCCCAGCACCAACTGACGTTTTGCAGCAGGGTTGAGAGTAGCAATTATGTTGGTAAAGGGAAGTTGGCCGTAAGGAGTATGAGAATAGAAGGCGTCCTCTGTCACTTCCCACCCGGCGTTCATCGAGCCGAGGGTTGATTTAATATGCTGAAGAGAGAGAAACTCACACACTGACTACACTGTCACATTCAAACGTAAGATTTCATACACACTCACACACGCATACTGACCTCCCGAACTTGTTGGCTTCCGGTTGAACCAGGGTACCGCACAACAAGCATAGTCTTCAGGTCTTTCTGCCACATTCGGTCCAGATCGGTATGAGATATGACACTGCTCAGTTCACTGGAGCTCAGTGTGGTTGCTGCATGTTTTAGCTGAGGAGAAAAGGAATTACAAATTGTATTAATTTCTTTATTACACAGTGGGTTTTTGCAGATGATGCTCATTAACCTTCATCCATATGAGCTTGTGATGTGTGTTCACTTCTTTCACTGTTTCTTTATTGTGTGCATTCATACCTTTGAGCAGTGTTGTGGTTGAGACCAGCATATTCGGGTCTGAGTAAAGTAAACTAGAAGATATACACTGCATCTGAAATCGATTATTTCCCTACAGTATAGTTTGTGAAAAACAGTACGCTAAAAGAGTGGCATATACGAATAGTATTTGAGAATCCAGTGCCTGGATGACCTTCTACTTCTGTCGAGATTCTGAAGTGGGCATTCGATGGACACTTTACTTTCTCATGAGGACATGGGAGAGGATTTGTGAATTGCAGTGAAGAAACGCAACTGACGCTGGTAGGTCACATGACAGTAACAACATGGCAAATGTAATACGTCCGAATTTCATTCATACTAGCCATATTCATACTATATAGAGCATACTTTTTTAGCGGTCACAAATTAAATTCAAATGTAGGACCTACGCAGACAGTATCAATTTTGGATGCAGCGACAGTCTTGACATATCGTCTGCGTTTTGTAACAAGCACCAGAAGTCGGTCGATTATGAGTTACGAGTCCGCATCCACATGCTCCCGACAAGACCAAGATCATTGAAATATGGTCTGAGTCCAAGACCATATTTTCATAGTCTCTGTTTTGCCATGGACTTGGGAGCATGTGGTCTCGGTCTCGACTCAGACAGATTCAACCCTCTTCTGGTCTCGGTCTCGACTTGGACTTAAATGGAGATGATACTCACTGCAGAACATGAAATCTTGGGGGAGGAGTTGGATCTGGATCTCCTACCTTACATATACCTAAATCCACCCATCTCCACCCCCTGATCCCTAATCCCACCCCTAATCCTACACATCTTAGATCTGGATCCAACTCCGCCCTGGCTCTCGTGTACTGCAGTAAGGTGCTACTGCTTAAAGGGACACTTCCCCCATTTGCATTAAGCTTTGTGTCTTTAGAAACCCAGTCATATTTTTGAATGGTCCTGTTTATTCCCTTATTTTCCCCTGAGATGGAAGAAATAAGGATTTAAGTCTTTTACTTCCTGCTCATCACGACGTAAAAATCGTCATTTTGCGTCACGATAAGCAGGAAGTCATATTTCATTAAAATCTGTATAGACTACAAACATTAGCTCATCATTATTCCAGGGTGTTGGACCCACTCACCCTACAGGCCTATTACAGATCAGTGGGTGGGACTTCACTTGCAGAGACTGAATCAATATCAGCCATCTTGTTTGGAAGCTAAGCCAACAAGCGCCGTGGAGACAGGAAGTTATGACAATGACGGAAGAAACTAAACATGATATGGAAGAAGAGGATTTTGAGATTCTGCAGCTTGAATCCGATGTTCGTGGCTATCTTTACGAGTAGCAGTATAGTGAAGAGCAGCTGCTCATGGAGGAACCGGAGGCGGCTGCCTGTCGCGGTCAAGAAGCCCGGACTGGGTTGAGCTGGGCGGACTGCTGTTGTCCGTGCTCTCGCTGCGTGCTACGGCCTACGGACACAGAGTCCGTCTGCTGCAGAGAATTTCAATGATGGCAATTTCTCCTGGAGGAAATCTCTGAATCAGACGAGCACATGGACGTTTGTGTTGTGATAGTTTCGCCTGACAGAACATTCAGGTATCATACAGTAATTCACCAAACAGAAATAAATACAAACGAGGAGTAATTCACTAATAATTTGCCAATGTAACGTGAACATTGTTGTTGTGGGAAGAAGGAGGCAGGAACCGACAAACTTTTACACATTTTAATAGTAAAATGAACAAATAGAAAACGAAAGTATAAGCCAGCAGCCCCTCATTGACGACTGCTGTAACGTTACACACAACACAATCTGCCGTCGTCGCTCCCCATTTTATGCTTTCGCTCCTCCGTGAGAGACGCGAGACCGGCGCGTGCCTCACAGGTGTCTTTCATTATCACTCACGCCACCGGCCTCGCCGTCCTCTTACGTCCCTCGCCCTCGATCGTCCTGCTCGCCACAGCCAACTAGACATTTTGTGTGAAATGAATTTCAAACTCTGGTGACAGCTAACGTTAGCCTTGTAGACGGAAGAGTGAATTCTCTGTTCGCGCTGTTCCGGATTAGTGGGTGTGGCTTGCGGAGCTGTGCAATGCGGTGCATTGTGGGACTTGTAGTCCTTCATACAAATGCGCCCCTCGGTTATTTTCTGTCTTTTCTCGGTGAATAAGGCACCAAATTAAAAAAAATTCGTTTACATTTCGACTACATATATGATCCACTTTCAATAAAGATTAATGTTGCAATGGGTGAAATGCTCCTTTAAATGAGCTGGTCTCTACAACACTGCTTTCACTGCATTCTTCAAGATTATCAGTAGAGTCAATCTTCCCTCTCTTTTATAGCTGACATGCCTCTCTCTAAAGCACATTGTAATACAGGGAAAAAATATGGAGCATTACAAAAGAAACCCATAACAGGTTGAGTGGCGTAGTAGAGTGTCAGGCTGGTGGTGTTAGCTTTTGACAAGACTTACTCGAGTTTGAATCGGGTCATTTCTGAACTCATTCTCCCCCCTTTTTCCCTTTGCAAATCAGCTCAGAAAGGTGATTAAAAGTGCCTAATTAACAGTGTTGGGAGTAACGCATTACAAAAGTAATACATTCCAGTAACATATTACTTTTTGCTGTAACGCAGTAGTGTAAGGCATTACTAATCAATTTTCAGTAATATTTTACTCGTTACATGTTCAGTGAGGCTTGTATTACAGTGTATTGTCTGCTTTTACTTCTTAAAGGCAACAGACTATGTGAAAGTTTTAAAGCAGTCTTTTAGTGCCAGTTCAGAGCGATCGCGTCTGTAACATTGTTTTTTCCTCATAAATGCGAACACGAAAACTAAAATAAAATGAATATTTTAAGTTCTATGGAGACTGGAGAGCCAACCCTTCCTCATCCGATTTGCGCAGTGTAATTAACAGAATTACAAAAAATATATTTTTTTTGTCACGCATGAATGTGTGTCTTTTCCCTAATATTAAAAATAAAACATAGACTGATATTTGTCTAATGTCTGGAGTCCTTAGAGGAAGTAGCCCATATACGTTTAAATACATATATTTTTCTGAGAATTTTTATTTCAAGTTTTGACTGCAAATGTCATGTCCATAATGCTCCTTAACTAGTTTTGTGGTGTAGGTCTACGTATTTTATAATGTTAACTTCAAATAATACTAATAGCCTAATTTAAAGATAAGGCAGCATTGGATCTGGACGGTAAGGAGAATAACGCTGGAGTTGGAAGAGGTGTGTCGCGATTCTGTTCGTGGATCTGAGTCGTGTGGCGAATCGCGATTTCGGTTTCATATTGCATATCGTTACAGCCCCAAAGTTGTTCTACTTAGTTATTTTGGTGAAAGTAACTCAAAAGTAATACATGAGTAATGTAACGCATTACAATTCTGAGACAGTAATATTGTAAGGTAATGAATTACTTTTAAATAGCAGTAACAAGTAATACCTAATGTATTACAGTTTGGAAGTAACTTGCACAACACTGCTAATTAATAGTGGGAGTAGAGTGTTTAGCGGGTAGAGTTAGGAGTAGGAGAGGGCTTAAGGGACGGGGACAACTAATGTCCCAATAAGACAGCATTCATTTATGATTTCAATCAATGTAATCATATACACTGAATAGCCTATAATATTATTTCATACTATTTTTTAATGTCCTACAATACACTTGTCACGATTAGATCCAAGGAAGATGGAGATGATTGAAGAGTAACAAGTTTGTTTAATAAATAACTCCAGCCGGCAAGAGAGCGTGCAACCCGCAAACAATACCGGACGCTAGACAGAACACAGGCAGGAACTTAAATACACAGTGGCGATTAATTAAACGACTAGCAGCTGTGATGAATGTAATTAGTGTCCATAGTGACAGATAGTGGTGGGAAACAGACAAGGTAAATGGACTGCATGTATATAGCGCTTTCACAGAAAGTCTTGCTCATGGACACCTTGATACTTGGTCAGGTGGAACTGAGGATTGAAACACCAACCTTCCGGTTTGTAGAGAACCTACGTGAACCACTGAGCCACTGCCGCCCCACTGAGATAGTGGTGGGAAACACAGACAAGAAAACACATGAAAACTAAACTAAAATACTAAAAAATCTGATAATTTGTTAGTAACTGGATTGATGGCTTAATCAGATTGAAAAGCCTTCAGGTAAACACCTCAATCAAGCTATTCGGACATATTTGTCAGCTTTCCTTTTAGGTATGTCATCAAGACAAAAGGACAATTAAACTCACAGTAGCTCCAGTGATATTATAGCGTTGGCTTTCTAAGTGGCTTTCATCATAATTTTGAGTCTGATATTGCTTTTATAACACTTCAGTAAGCGTAAAGTAACTTCTTTTTTTGATATACTTTTCCAAAGCAGAACGAACCGATGCATCCCTGAGCACAGTATTTTGAAGAAAATGGCTGAGTGAACCATTCAATGACTCATTCATAAAGTCACTTTATTGCCACCGACTGGCGTAAAATCCCTACTTAAACATCACAGGATTAAACGGTTAAGACATTGCTCTGCCAATCACATTTAAAGACCGAAGCTAACTAACTAACACATTTATGTAATTTGACAATTGTGATTAAAGAGCTCTGCTGCAATAAATCCCATACATGCAAACTGATGAACATAATAACTACAAGACCAATTAAGTTTTAATTATTTAGTGTTAATGCATTAACTATTACAAAAAAAAATGTGTCATTAAATGTTACAATCGATTGAGAGTCCTGGCTGTAATCCTTTCTCCTATAGACCTTATTCAGAGCATGCAGCGCCATGACAGGTATGAAAGTGAGTCTGTGAGGGATAGACTTACAGTGTTTCCAACGGCATCCGCTGTAAAAAGCTGAATAAAGCTCCTAGATTACGTACAATTTTCATTGTCGGGAGTTTTTTGTTAACTGAAATTTCTTGGAAAGATATTTTTCCAGTGTTTCATGAGCAGAACAATCCGAAAACACATTAAATAACAGTACAGCCCATTGAAGAGATGCATGTCTATCCCTCACAGCCTCGCTTTCATTCTCAATAAAAATCAAAGATAGATGGCGCTACCGTGAATAAGGCGTATACCAGTTAAATGTGCAGAGTCAGACCACTATACATGTACAGTTTGTTTGAACAATGGAAGACAATGGGGGGAGGGGAATACTACTGGTAAATAGTGTGCGGAAACCAATTTTCGCATGTAACTTCAAATACTAAAATGAATACCTCAACTTATAATTCGAATTGGATGACAGACTATAAAATCTAATTGGTTTACAATGAATGAAACATTTTCTTCTTCATTTTCTTTACAAAAAACAAAAGTAAAGTAGATCTTTTTAACATTTTAAAGCTTGAACAACTAGTGACGTCCTCTGCACGCTTCTGTGTCACTTCAATTGTGCTTCACAACAAACTAACATTTATGTCATGCAATTTCAATTTCATACAACTATCGTTTTGCTTCAAAAGACATATTCATCCATTGGGATCGTATATGGATTATATTGTATTATATGGATTATTTTTCTAAAAATCTTTATTTGTGTTCACCTTAAGAAAGAAAGTCACATACATCTGGGATGGCATGAGGGTGAGTAAAAGATGACTGATTGGCTGTACCCTTATAGCTGGCTGAGGCATCTTCCATGCAATTAATCTAGAATGTTCTTTACACAATAACAAAAACTTACAATACAACCTAATTCAGTGACTGCAGTCAAAAAAACATTTTTTGATTACATCAAAAAACATGATGATTATAGTCTTGCTTAATGTTAATGTTGCAATCAAACTAGTATAGTCTTGTTTGTAGGATAAATTATACACTGCATATGTCTAGAGGGTAATTATGTGCTCAAACTACACTATACATGGCAACAGAAGGGCTCTGAAATGAGCTAGAGGACATTCACAGAGCCAGAAAGGCTTCTGGTTATATGATATTTCTTGACTAATAATGTTAAGATGAATAGAAATATAATTAAACTACTGCTTTAAACACTATATTGATCTTCTGATGACATTTCGTTTTGTTTGGTCTCAAAGTCCAATTGTTCTTGTGCTGTGATTATTGATTCTTCTACAAAATCTTACTTAATGAAACTAGCTTGTTTTGAACAACACAGAAGTAAAAAATGTTTTATACAAAAAAGTGTGTGTCAAGGTGAGGAAAATAAGATTATAAAAGATTATGCCACTGTATAACTGGCCCTTTTTAGTTATCTGATCACTTGCTGAAAAGCAATAGTGCAACAGAAGCATCATTCAAAGAAATTTTCCCAACATACTGATCTGCCATCTTTAGACTTGAACAAACGGAATTAATTCAAAAGAGTTTGAAAGTCTGTATTAAGATATCCAGCTGATGGATCAATGATGGGGATCTTGCTCCCATAGCAACCAGACAATGAGAGACAGGCTGAGCAACATGAACCGAGTCAGATGCGAGTCACCAGATCATGTACTTGTAAAGCCATGAAGCAAATTAACCTTACTTTCCTCAGTCAGTTAACTTTAAGTTATCACTGGCACGATTCTATTGGATATTTAAAAAAAAAAAAAATGAATTTTTGGTATGCATTAAATAAACAGACATAAATTCCCTAATCTGAAAACACCAACCCTTCGTGAGAAAAAAAATACACAGAATTCATGAATAATTCTAACTCAACATTGTTTGATATCTATTCTTTGTGTAAAGATTGCTACCTTCTCCTCCTGCCAGGGAACAGTGTCGCAGCTCGTCAGAGTCAATATGATGCCAATGAATGCCAGTCTCGCGGTCCAGCGTCGTTCGGCCATCTCATCTCCTCAGTTCTGTTCTCACGACGCTCTCTCTCTCTCTCTCTCTCTCTCTCTCACACACACACACACGCAAACACACACTCCACACAACTCCGATCATGTGAGAGAACGGTTTACAAACCCTACTATGGCGAACGCCTCGCTTATGAATATTAATAACGTTCAGTGACGCTCGGCAAACTGATTGGCTTGAACGGAAGTCATTGCGTCGAAGGCTTAGCTCATGAATATTAACCAAAGGTCAGCGACGCTTTATTAATATTCATGCGCTACCACTTCGATTCGGCACAAAGAGCCAGCTGTTGTCGTGTTTTTTTTTTGTTAATTCACCTTCTTTTCCTGTTCTTAAATAAAGAAACAATTTATATAAATTTTCTTTATACTGGGTTCTGTGTATTACAGGTTCCATTTAAGGGATAGTTCACCCAAAAATGTAAATTGTCATTACCCTCAAGTTGTTCCAAACGTTTCTTTCTTCTGTTGAACACAGGAGATATTTTAATGTTGGTAACCAGACAGTTGACGGCACCCATTGGCTTACAAAGTATTTTTGTCAGTAGTATTTTATCTATGGAGGTAACCTCAGCTGTCTGGTTACCCACAATATTTAAAGATAAAAAACAACATTATAAAATAAAAATAAAGAATTATAAAGATAATATTATAAACTGACTCATATCTACGCCACAATAACGCAGAGTAAAATAATTCAGAGCTTAACTGCAGTTGTTTATTTAGTAGGCCATACATAGTTACAAACAATACTATTTAAGAAAACTCTAAACTGCATATTAGTTATCCTAAAAATAATGTCAGTGATCTGGTAACATGCAGGGGATTTTCAACTCTAAAGAATAAACAACTTTATTGGGACAGTTCGCCTGAGCTATCTCAGTAACTTTTGTTCATCTGCACCCTCGGCCTCGTGTTACTTAATGTTTCAGGTGGTTCTATCCTTTCAATTCTCAGCTGTCTTTTCAAAATAAAAGTAATAACATTGAGTGGGTTATATCTAGGCTACATGGGGAGCGCGTATTATGGATCTGTTGTAATCACGTGATACGTGAGCAAACACGTGGTCGCATGCGCGCGGAAACCCGGAAGTCCCGTGTAGTGTGATTTCTATGTACATATAAATGCTCGTGATAATAACTGCTTCTTAATCATAATTTGTTATCGAGGTGATTGTTCGTGATGGATGATACAATTTTAAGTTTGAAGACACAGCTCTTGGAAAGGGAGAAAGAGATTGCAGCTTTGAAGAAGAAACTTCATCAAATGGAAAAGGTCTGCAATTAGTTAGTTATTCTGTTTACTCTGTAAATATTCTGATAACAGAATATTTGCCTTTGTGTGGTTCACACAAAATACCTTTGTGTAATTCTGTACCGTTATGCGTCTGTAGCACTAATGATTTTAACAACGAGTATTTAATGCCAATGTATATGTGTTGTTACTGTGTATGGAGTGAAAACAGTATCAACAATTTATTTTAAGGTTTAGGTTCGGTCAGACAAGTGTATTACAATTATTTTTCTGAAGATAAATATTTAAAGGCATAGATTGATAGAACAGCTTAAATCATATATTAATTGTTGGACAGAATAATCTTTTGAAAGGCACCCGTGTCATGACGTAGATACATAACGTTATAGTCAAATTTAAACATATAAACATATTTAAACATATATATATCACCTTTTGGGAGCTCAACGATTTGCAAATCCGGCATAAATCGGGCTTGAAATCCTCTAGTGTGAACTTGGCTTAAAGGATTAGTTCACTTTTGAAAAAACTTTTGCTGATAATTTACTCACCCCCATGTCATCCAAGATGTCCATGTCTTTCTTTCCTCAGTCGAAAAGAAATTAAGGTTTTTGATGAAACCATTCCAGGATTTTTCTCCTTATAATGGACTTCAATGGGAACCAGGTCCAACCGAGGTCCAAACGACAGTTAATAACAGTTTCAGATGCAGCTTCAAATGTCTTTAAACGACACCAGACGATGAATAAGGGTCTTATCATGCGAAACGATCGGTTATTTCAAAGCTTATTCCAAAAATGTAACTTTTCTAAGGACAAACGCTAGCCTTTCTCCATTCTGTGAGGCGCGTTTGTAACGTCACGTAATACGTAATTACGTTCAAAAGGTCACGGGCGACGTAGCCGGAAGTACAGAATCAAAATCGTCCGACATCGTTGTTTTACCTTTTAATTCCTTTTTTGTAAACGGCGTTTGAGTTAGTTTTCACGTTCAACCTATGCGTTCAACTTGTAAACACTCTGACTCTGTACTTCTGGCTACGTCGCCCGTGACCTTTTGAACGTAATTACGTATTACGTGACGTTACAAACGCGCCTCACAGAATGGAGAAAGGCTAGCATTTGTCCTTAGAAAAGTTACATTTTTGGAATAAGTTTTGAAATAACCGATCGTTTCACATGATAAGACCCTTATTCATCGTCTGGTGTCGTTTAAAGACATTTGAAGCTGCATCTGAAACTGTTATTAACTGTCGTTTGGACCTCGGTTGGACCTGGTTCCCATTGAAGTCCATTATATGGAGAAAAATCCTGGAATGTTTTCATCAAAAACCTTAATTTCTTTTCGACTGAGGAAAGAAAGACATGGACATCTTGGATGACATGGGGGTGAGGAAATTATCAGCAAAAGTTTTTTTAAAAGTGAACTAATCCTTTAAGCTGGGCTGAGTTGAATGGGGGACGGAGGGGGGTGACTCTGGGATGCCAGGGTCACTGTCGAGCCCTCTTGAGGTGTCGTGGGCTAGTCGACGAAACGCTGAGGACGGAAGGTGCCCACTTGAAGACCCTAGGGATGTCCCCTACTCGGCTCAATCCAGACGGTTGTCGTGGTGGTCCACAAGGGAGACCACACGACACAATAGTTCCAGCCATCGTGTGTGCTGACGCGGCAAGTACACTGCAGCCGTAAACGCCGGACAGACGGAGAGTCACATCACCATATGGAAAGAAGCGTAAATGGATGGAGAAGCATAGTTTACTGTAAAGCTGCGTCTTAGCTTACCTTGGCTGAAGCCAAGTATAAATCAGCATGAAGTTTTAACATCTACTCTTGTGTAATGGAAATCATCATAAGAAGCCTTCTCAGAGCAGATGATTTTCTTGTCTGAAAACTGAAAAGACTCCCTCCCCTTTTTTTCAGGGAAACTCAATAACAACAGAGTTACTGGAGAAGATTACCAATCTTTCACCACTGAAATCAAATGTAACGCTGAGCAATGAGGACATCATGAGATACAGCAGGCAGCTTCTCCTACCAGAACTTGGTGTTAAAGGTTAAACAATATTTTGACTTGAACGTTTATAATGTAACTCTTTTCTTTTCTTTTCTTACACAATCTTCTTTTCTCCACAGGCCAAGTTGCCATAAGTAATGTATCTGTTCTGGTTGTGGGATGTGGAGGTTTAGGTTGTCCCCTTGCGCAGTATCTGGCTGCTGCTGGAATAGGTAATGTGTATTTACAATGTTCATAATGCTGTTAAGTATAGGAGTTTATCTGTACAAGTAAAGTCCTGTTGACACCTGCTATTAAAGGGATAGTTCACCCAAAAAATGAAATTTACCCCATGATTTACTCACCCTCAAATCATCCTAGGTGTATTTGACATTTTTCTTTTCAGACAAACACAATTGGAGTTATATTAAAAAAATGTCCCGGCCCTTCCAAGCTTTATAATGGCAGTGAATGGCCGTAAGTCCATAAAAGTGCATCAGTCCATGATAAAAGTGCTCCACATGGCTCCGGGGGGTTCATAAAGGCCTTCTGAAGCTTTTGTGTAAGAAAAATATCCATATTTTAAATATTAAATATTAGGGCTGTGCAAAAGTTAATTGCGATTAATCGCATCCAAAATAAAAGTCTGTGTTTACATAATATATTTGTGTGTGCTGTATATAATTATTTTGTATATATAAATACACACACATGCATGTATATATTTAAGAAAATATGTTATTAATATATAAAATATTTATATTTATATAATATAGATTATGTATTTATAAATATATACAGAATTTAAGCGCAAATAATTCTTAAATATATACATGCATGCATAGGTATTTATATATACAAAATAATTATATACAGCACACACAAATATACTATGTAAACACAGACTTTTATTTTGGATGCGATTAATCGCAATTAACTTTTGCACAGCCCTATTAAATATTATCAAATATTAAAAAAATTCATAAGTTATATAAAAAAAAATGTCCTGGCCCTTCCAAGCTTTATAATGGCAGTGAATGGCCGTAAGTCCATAAAAGTGCATCAGTCCATGATAAAAGTGCTCCACATGGCTCCGGGGGGTTCATAAAGGCCTTCTGAAGCTTTCGTGTAAGAAAAATATCCATATTTTAAATTTATCGACTAAAATAATTAGCTTCTGGCATACTAGCCAATTCGACTTGCGCCACAAGAGTAACCAGTGAAGCATGTATGATGAAGCATGTAAGTTTAGACGCCTCTCGCGGTTCAGACAAACATGGCTCGGCATCAAACTCAAGCTCCTCCGACATTTCCCTTTAAAAATTGTTGTTTTAGACTTATAATTCGTGACTTCCACGGCCGTCATTACGTTGTGTGTCAGGTCAAGGGTCACTCTTTCACCGTAAATCTGTGTACTGTCGTCTGCCGGAAGCTAGTTTTTTTATTCGATAATATTTTAAATGTGGATATTTTTCTTACACTAACAAATCGCCTAACTTTAGAAGGCCTAACCTTTATTAATCCGCCAGAGCCGTGTGGAGCGCTTTTATGATGGATGGATTTACTTTGATGGACTTAAAAAATACACGGCCATTCACCATTCACACAAATGACCCCACACTTATCATGGGGTAGTTTTCATTTTTGGGTGAACTATGCTTTTAAGAAGCATTTTCGGCAAGTGGACGACGCTAAATACAGACGTAAACTGGGTCTAAAATGACCACTTCCAGAGGTAGTCGAAAATGCGAATGCTTTCAAACGGCCACAAAAGAGTAGACCGCCTTCCCCATGATGGATTTAAAGGGTTAGTTCACCCAAAAATGAAAATTCTGTCAGTATTTACTCACCCTCATGTTGTTCCAACCCCGTAGAGACCTTCGTTCATCTTCGGAACACAAATTAAGATATTTAGGATATTAAAATCGCTCCTGCATACAGTCCATAGGCTTCTTGAGGGACTGGCTCTTGCTGTCCTCGAAAAGTAATTGAAGACATCGTTAAAATAGTCCAAGTGACTACGGGGCTCAATCTTAAGTTTATCAAACGACGAGAACACTTGTGCGCAAAAAAACAACAAAAATAACGACTTTATTTCAACTATTCACTTCCTTCTCCATAAGCCTATAGTCCGTTAACGTAGTGTGATTGCGTAGAGCTACGTCACACGTAGGCTCACTATTGGTCGACGCTGGTCATGTGTGTGTGATGCGTGTGACGTACAATAACAGAAGCTTACGCTATTAAACTAGTAACCTGACTCGTGCAGAGGGAGAAATAAACGAATAGTTGAAATAAAGTCGTTATTTTTGTTGTTTTTTTGCGCACAAAAGTGTTCTCGTCGTTTGATAAACTTAAGATTGAGCCCCTGTAGTCACTTGGACTATTTTAACGATGTCTTTTATGACGGCAAGAGCCAGTCCCTCAAGAAGCCTATGGACTGTATGCAGGAGCGATTTTAATATCTTAAATATCTTAATTCGTTTTCCGAAGATGAACGAAGGTCTTACGGGGTTGGAACAACATGAGGGTGAGTAAATACTGACAGAATTTTCATTTTTGGGTGAACTAACCCTTTAAAACACCAGGTTTAAATGGGTATGTGTCTCCCTCTACTTGTGTTTGACCAAAAATGCATCTTAAAACCAGGTTTTAAACATT